CGCTGCAGCTCCCCAGGCTTCCACGCCGCCCGCTGCAGCTCCCCAGGTCTCCTTGACGCATGCTGCAGCTCCCTAGGTCTCCTTGACGCATGCTGCAGCTCCCCAGGTCTCCTTGATGCAAGCCGCGTTCCCTTTGGTTCTGTGTTATGGACAGCCTCCCGGCCGCCCCCCTGAACTGGCCCGGTTTGATGGACAGCCTCCTGGCCGCCCGCCGGAACAATGACTCTTAGGGACGATCCCTTGACCGTCCAAATCCCTTGTGATCCTTCGCGTTTTTTCTCTCTGGTCCCCGTGTATTTTCTCTGGTCCCTCGTGTCTTTTCTCTGTTCCCTCGTGTTTTTTCTCTGGTCCCTCGTGTATATTTTCTCTGTTCCCTCGTGTATTTTCTCTGGTCCCTCGTGTTTTTTTCCTCTGGTCCCTCGTGTTTTTTTCTCTGGTCCCTCGTGTTTTTTTCTCTGGTCCCTCGTGTATTTTCTCTCTAGTCCCTCGTGTCTTTTCTCTCTGGTCCCTCGTGTATATTCTCTCTGTTCCCTCGTGTATTTTCTCTGGTCCCTTGTGTCTTTTCTCTCTGGTCCCTCGTGTCTTTTCTCTCTGGTCCCTCGTGTCTTTTCTCTCTGGTCCCTTGTGTCTTTTCTCTCTGGTCCCTCGTGTCTTTTCTCTCTGGTCCCTCGTGTCTTTTCTCTCTGGTCCCTCGTGTCTTTTCTCTGGTCCTCGTGTTTTCCTCGGGCCCTCCACCCTTGCAGTGCCGCCCTCCACCCGCCCTAGTCCTTTGGGAGGGGGGTTTTTTGGGGACGCCTGGAGGCGTCCTTGGGGGGGGGTACAGTAAGGATGGTACTTTTCTGTGGTCCGGTTTGTGTCTGTTTCCCTCGTGCTCCCTCATTAGTTTCCATTGTTACCACCCGTGTCTCGTCCCAGCTGTCTGCAATTATGTCTCGTCTTGTCTCTGTATATAAGCCGTCCGTTCTGTCTTGTTCATCGTCACGTCGTCTTCGTTGGGTCTCTGGTGTCTTCCCCTGAGTCTTCCTGGTTCCTCGAGTTCCCTGTGTCTCTCGTGTCTCCTGAGTTTCCCGTGCCTCCTTCCTATGCTCATGTAAGTTTTGCTGCCCCGTCAGCTTGTTATTTTGTACTTTCATTTATCATTAAAAACCTATTTTTGTATTTCTGCCGAGTTGAGTCCCTGTTCTGCACTCTGGGTTCGCTCCTGACCACAAATCTTAACATCCTCATTCAGACAGAAGATCAAAATGCACAATTACTTTGTAAATAGACATTTAACTTGATTTCTAAGTCTGCTGAGGTTTAAAAATCATTAATACTGTTTCACAGTTGATTTTAAATGAGTGGTTTACTTCAACATTTAGAAATGGTATGAACATAATAAATATAAAGATAATGAAAAAAGGAAGAGTGTTCTTTCAATTGATTAATTCAGGATACAATTAGTCTCTTGATGAGATAATTTGTATTTCTGGATTCAAATCAATGAAATAGCAGTTCCTGTCCCCTGAAGGTCTTCAGAGACAGACTGTTGTCGGAGGCCTAGTTCCCTACAAGAGGCACAATTCTATAACACACTTCTCCCCTCAGAATGTCTTATATGGATATGTATCTGAAAATAAAAAAGATGAATACTTTGTTAATAACATTATCATAATCTTAAAATTCTATATACATAAATGCAGATATGGCAAGTCTAAGCTATTATGGTCTGTATTCATACAAGAACTGATGGTAAAAACTTTAATTAGACAGTGCTAAAAAAAACAAGCAAAAAAGCTCTCTGATCACCTCGCTCAGAGGATATAGCACTGACAAATTATTTGAGTAATTATGTAGCATGTTCTGTGTTTTGATTTTATTTTTATCATAATATTTGCTTATTCTCTGATACTAATAATGTTACTTAAATTTAAATTAAACTTTTTTTAGATCAGCTTAAAAATATTTTTTAATTGCCTATGTTTTTCAAGCTTGAAAATATACAATGTATTTTTCTCCCCTCCTTCAATCCAGTGAGCTAGAGAACGTTAAAAAGCACCTTTAGCATTATCTACATATAAATTATCTAGTTCACTCTGTAATTTGTTTTATTCAACAAGTTCTTCAGGTGACAAATCTGTCTTTGTACAAAGATTAGGTGACAGGTGAGAGCGCGAAGGTTGTGCGTTTTATTTTTACTTTATTGAACTTTTGAACAACATAACAGAACAAAGGAACAGAAGAACAAAATAACAAATGACATGTTTCTGTTTTTAGTTTTCTACATTCGCCTTAGAATCTAGCTGTTTTTTTTTTGTTACCTTTTTCTTTTAGCCATCCTATTTGTAAAAGTAAAAAAAAAAAAAAAACTGCAGTATGACTTTATATTTTTTTATTGTTGTTGCTGTTGTCCATTGTTGTCATCTTTCTTTGTTGAAATCAGGTCTCTCTTGTAAATGAGTCCTCGAGGCTCAATAGGATTTACCTGTCTAAATAAAGGTTGAATGAAAGATGAAAAACGAAACGTTTCTACTTTTTTTTTTGTTTGTTTTTTGAATGTCCAGAGGACCAGACTTAACTTTTTTTTAGATTTTTCTACCTGGATTATTGAGCATGCATCAGGATAATAGATGTGACTTATACAGCAAAGTGATGTATTTGTTTTTTTCCACTTTATTTGACATATTTGGACTGATGCGACTTATACGGCGGTGTGACGTGTACGGCGTCAAGTACGGTAGCCTTCCCACCTTTGCCCTAGTGAGATCCTTTACACCTCCGATTTGAGCCTCGATCAGGTGATCACAGTGGATGGTGGAGGGTACAGCCACCTTCGGAAGCCCGCTGCTGATGAACTGCAGCATTGCCATCTGGGCTGTTGCATCCTGCATAGCCACACGGTCAGGACGCAGCCGCAGGTATGAGCAACCACGATCAATCTCCTGATTATGGGGATCATCGAGGTGGCCGTACACAATCTTCTCCGCAAGCGTGAGTGGACGGTTGAGCCTGTAGCAACGGAAAAAAATAGAGATTTTATTGAGGCAGCAAAATATTAGATCTGATTTTGCCCTTAAGGCCAGGATAAATGATGAAATCTGATTAGATTACAGCATTTCCCCAAGATAACTTGCCATGATGGGGCGCTCAGCTCATTCGTGATTTTTGTCGACAGGATTGGGACATGTCTGCGCGCTGTTTGTACCAACAGTTTTTGAGCATTGTTGGGGGTGATGGTTCAGTTCAGCGTGAGGGAAGCGACAGCAGCTACTAAGCCTGTATCGTGCGCCGCTTAGTGCTAGGTCAGTGCAGTATCTGGATAATTTTAAAGTATCGAGATAATTTCATACGTAATATAAGATGGTACTATATCGTCTATATCAATATTAGTATGGCGAGTTATAATTAGACTTGAAAATCTGTGTAGTTCTTCTTTTTCTCCTGTCTGCGCCACCAGCTGCACACAGCCTCTCCTTCTCCCTCACTGAATACAAACCCAGCTCTTCACCCACGCGAGCTACCCCCGCTTCCTGCTTCTCTAGGTGGGCAGGAGTTTAGCACAACAACACAGGAGAGGATATCGACGAGAGGCAGTGACACGGTCCCAATCTCAACTGTGGAACAAGAAGGCTCAGTCTCGTTCCACAATTGAGAATAGGACTGTGTTTTTAGCGATATAAGCCACTGCGTTATTAATGTCACGCTACCTCTCTCACTGTTCCTCTCATAAGGAACAGCACAGCTAAATTAATTTTATACCGTGGTGAGGCTGAAGTCAGTCGGACCTGCTGCTGTAGTTAACACACGCATACCAACGGCATGAAGGCAGCACAGCTGAAGAGGATTATTATTTAATATATAAATAAATGTTTTAAAAATAAACTAATATATGTAAGTAGTTTTTTTTTAGACATTTATTTTGTACAGTTACAGCTGTTTATTAATAAATGTGCCTGTGTGACAATTGGGACAAAATTTTGACTCAGAAATATATGTTTATTACTTTATGGAAAGAAAAAAACGTTCTTTTTTTTTTTTCTCCCCTTGTCCTGTCCGGCATTGTGACACTTAGAATTATTGTCTGAGTGTCAAAGTGATGCCCAACAGATTTACTTTCACAAGCAGAGCATTATGGCTGGCCTTAATGCTCTGCTTGATATATAAATTAAATTTTATTAGAATATGTTTTGGGTTTGTTTCAGATGTAATGGACATGGAGATGAAAAACAAAGAAGATAAAGCAGAAAAGTGAGAGAAGAGTTAAAATGTAAAGAAGGAGATAGGAATAGAGGAGAGAGAGAGGGATAAAGAGAACACAAATCAACATCATTGAAGTCTGACTCTAGGCCTGTGGAAAGAGAAAAAAAACCCCAGACAAAACAAAGAAACCACAACAACAAACAACTTATATAATGATAGTTATAACATCATTAGTTAACATAACATAACATCATCCTACATGTCTCTGCGTGAGTGCAGCTACAGCGTGCGCTCTCAGGACATTATTACCTGCAGTGTTCCCTCAATGAGGACTGAACTAGACAAAAGGGCCTTCTCCTACTCCGCTCCTGTTTCCTGGAATATCTTACAAAAAGATTTGAAGCTCTCGACCTTGACCTCTCTAAGTGTCTTTAAGAATCTGTTGGACTCCTGGCAGGGTCCAATGCTGACATGTTCCTGTTTTTAGTTTTCTACATTTGTCTTGGAATCTAGCTGTTTTTTGTTTTGTTACCTTTTCCTTTTAGCCATCCTATTTGTTAAAAACAAAAAAAAAAAAAACAAAAAAAAAAAAAAAACTGTAGTATGCTTTTTTATAACTGTTTATTGTTGTTGCTGTTGTCCATTGTTGTCATCTTTCTTTGTTGAAATCAGGTCTCTCTTGTAAATGAGTCCTCAAGGCTCAATGGGATTTACCTGTATAAATAAAGGTTGATTGATTGATTGATTAGAAAATATTTTATACAGTACATGGTAATATATATTTGATGGCCACCACAACCCAACTGAGTGTGTATCTGATAAACACCTGAATCTAAACACCTGTGTGAGCATGATGTCACTATAAGATTTCTCCATAAAAATGATCAATAGTGGATGTGGGGACCCATAAACCCGTACCCACAGGACACGAAGGTAACACAGGGAAGACCGGAACCAGACACACAGCAGCCCCCAAGCCCGGAACTCCGGTAGTCCCGCAACAGGGACACCCGCACCCCCCCAGAGAGAGAAGCAAAGGGAAGCCCTGGGCGATCCCCAGCAACCACAATGCAGAAACCCCCAGGAGGCCGTAGCGACGAGTCAACAGGCCCCGCCGGCAACCCGCCCCTCCAGAGTGGATCCGGCCATGGAAACCAAGCCCTGAGTCCCGAGGTCATACCATCCCCCAACAGAGACCCGACAGAGCCAGGGCACCCAGGCCCCCGCAGGCAGCCACCAGGGCGGGCCCGCACACACCCCACCACCCAGCCCCAGCTGCTGATAGCCGCCAATACACCAGCGGCAGGGGGGCCCACCATCGGAGGGGAGCACGACCCACCAAATGGGGGGGGGGGGGCAAAACTGGTCCAAGAGAGGGGGGCCACCCAAAACCCAACCTGAGAC